AATGGGTGTGAAGTGGTATTTCATTGTCATTTTGATTCTCATTTCTCTAATGACCAGTGATGTTGAATATCTTCATGTGCTTATTGGTCATTTGTATATCTTCTTCAAAGAAATGTCTATTCAAGTCCTTTGCCTATTTTCATCAGATCACTTTTTTTGAGATGTAGTTCTGTATATATTCTGGATATCCAATAATTTGTTAAAAGCCGGATTCACTATATTAATATGAGATGAAGTAGATTTCATTACCAGGGGTTGAAAGGGTCAATTCATCAAATGACACTCCAAAATGTTTATGTACTTAATAACAGAGCTTCAAAATACATGAAGCAAAAACTGAAAAAACTACAAGGAGAAATGGACAAATCAACCATTATAGTCATAAGTTTCAATGACCCTTTTCCACTAACTGATAGAACAAGTAGACAGAAAAGCAGTAAGCAGTTAAGACTTAAACAGCACTACCAACCAACTTAACTGACATTTATACAACACTCCACTCAACAAAGCAGGAAACACATTTTTCCCAAGTGTTTACCAAGAACATTTCCCAAGAAATGTTCCCAAGAACATTTACCAGGGAAGACCATATCCCGGGCCATAAAACAAGTCTCAGTAAATTAAAACATTTCAAATCATACAAAGTACATCCTTTGTTTACAAAGAAATTAAGTTAGAAATCAGTGTTTACTGGACAGAAAGAGAAAGTATTAGTATAATGCAGACTTTGTGTCTTCTACTACTTGTAATCCTGCCAAGGAAAGAGTAGATACATTAGCAGGGGGACGAAAGTACTTAATGTCTGCGATGCTAGGCATACCTGACCTGGGCTATCTGTCTGATACCATGTTCATGGTTGAGTCTCTCCTCTCCTCTCCAGCCCATCCTAAGCCCCAGGGGCCCCACTTGTCAGCACCAGCCAAATCAGGACAAACCTGTTTGGTATTTGCTCAAGGCTCTCACAGAAACCAACGAAGGGGAAGAGAAATGCAGTAGAAGGAACACCTGCGAAGTATACATAGCTTTTAAGTGCCCCAATCCTCAGAGACATCGCCACTACAGAGATCTCTGTGTTACAGGGCAACTATTCAGGAACAAACTGGAACCTTATGAAAACTCTAGACCCTGAACAGAAACTAACAGAATTTTGGAACAAGAGGATCCAGTGGGATGAAAACAAGGTATTCAATGACCTGATTATGTCAGCCTGGAAAAACCCTACTGGTACTGGCCAAAAGTATCTGGAAATGATTCACATGGCTAGTTAGCCCAATGCCCTTTTGATGGCAGATTTATGTCAGATTAGCAAATTTCACAGCAATAAGTAAAAAGAAAACAAGAATCCTTAGAAATAATCTCACTTCCAAGTATAGAAAATCTACAAAGTCCTTAAGGTGGTGCTTCTCAAATTTGACTTTCAAAAAGAATCACTCAGTGCATATGTAAAAAATACTGATTCCTGGGACTCCTCCAGACAATCTCCAGAGGTTTGGCTCCGTATTTTTAACAACCACCACAGGTAATTCTTTTTTTTTTTTTTTTTAAGATTTATTTATTTATCTTCGAGAAAGAGAGAGAGCAAGAGAGGGGAGGGGCAAGGGAGAGAGAGAGAGAGAACCCTCAAGCAGACTCCCTGAGTGTGGAGCCCGACACAGGGCTCAATCCCAGGACCCCAAGACGATGACTGGAACTGAAACCAAGAGCCAGATGCTCAATCAACTGAGCCACCCAGGCTTCCCTAAGCATCACAGATGATTCTTAAGGTCCAGCAAGAACATTAGCTTTGAAATGAGACTAAGGGGTTAAAAATCCTGACTCGGCACTTCCTGGCCCTGTGACCAAATTATGTAACATCTCTGCAACTCCCTTTCCACCTGTAAAATGGGATCACCACTGAAGTGTTCTCAGAATTCACTATGTTCACAAAGCCCCTAAAACAGGCCAAGAGCACATGGCAGTCAAGCAAGAAATCAGAGCTAGTGCTACTTAAACCCAGCCAGCAGAAGCTGCCCAGATGAAGAAATCTAAAATGAAATGTTCTATCTAATGGAAATTACAAAGGCACCAAGCCAGTTTCCAAGATAATTGAGGAAAAAAGCCTTTCTGGGCACTATGACCGCCAAGAACAAAGACTCTCACTTCAGCAGCCAATAGCTACCCAAGCCCTTCCTCCCACCCAGAACCACAAGGTCCAGGCCTGGGCAGCTTTGCACAAGGGCCAAAGAAGGTCCTTCCTCCCCAAATCCCTCTGTCACCGCCACCTCCAGCTCTAGGGCCGACAGTCCTAAGAGTCAGGTGGCAACATCTTGGGGGCACCAGTAGTAAACAGAACTCCTGGAAAATAGGCAAGGAGCCAGCGAAGGGAGTGGAAAAGGGCTGAGTCAGCAACAGGATTACTTAGTGAAGGGAAGTGAGTCTGTGAAGTTTCCAGGGCTAAAGGAGGCATTGCTAGGGTGGGTGAAGCCCGACACTGTGTTGGAGTTGATGCAGGGTCAACTCTGCCGGTAACGCACAACACAGCCCGAGGTAACTCCTCCCACCCATAAAGTGGGAAACTAAGCACCTTATTGGATGTGGGGAAGAAATGAGGAGGAACCAGGCACCTATGAGAGATACACTGACACGCAAACACCCCACTGCCTTTTGTACCCAAGAGGAACGGGACATATACTGGAGAGAGATACAAATACATACAGATACACACACACACACACACACACACACCAATGCCCTTTGCACCCAGCAGGTCCAGGGGTAGGGTTTGGTCAGGGATGCTGGGCGCTCCTAGTCTGGGTACAGAAAAAAGGAGAACAGAGCCGAGGCTGAAAGCCCCTTTCTTTCACTGTCCTGGGGAAAGGGCACAGGCAGGGAGTCACAGACCAGAGTCTCTGTGACCCCACCCTGCCACCGGCCTCCCGTGTGACCTCTGGCTCCCACTCTTAGGCCTGCTTCCCCATCTGTACAATGGGCAAACGCGCTCTAACGTCACTAGAATTGTGCCCAGCAAGATGCTCAAAAATGGGGTGGAGGGTGGAGGTGAGGAGTGGGGCGGGGCCGGAGGCGCCACCTGCAGGGGGAAGGGACCGGAGCGCGCTAGGGGCAGGGGCGCCGGCCTCCCTCCCTCCAGCGGCGAGGGGCAGAGGCGCCCGCGGCAGTGACGCGCCCCTCGCACCCAATCACCGGCCTCTGCCAGGATGAGGCCGACAGGCGGAGGCGCGCCGGGAGCCACTGCCAGCGCCACCCCCTTCCCCGTCCTTGCCCCTCCCCGGGTCCCGCTCACCTGCCCGGCCGCCGCCACCGCTGCCGCCACCGCCGCCGCGGGTTAAACCACGGCCCGCGCCCACACTTCCGGGGCCCGCAGGCCCGCCCCCTCCCGCCGGATGTGACACCCCTCCAACGTCCGGGCCTGGGAGAGGGGCCCGCGCCGCTCGTCCCGCACCACGCTGGGTGGCCCGTGGGTCTGAGTCACCACGACACCGCTCCCCGCCTTCACCCCCCCCGGGCCACAGCCACGGGAGTCCCCACGAGACCCTCCCGCGAGCGGCGGACGCCCGGCCCCGCCCCCTAAAGGCCTCCGCTCCGCCCCTGGGAGGGGCACCGCCCATTGGGCGGAGACTCGACCGCCCAGGGCGAGTGCGCCTGCGCAGACATCTGGCGTATTCTCTGGCGGGCGAGGAAGGGGCAGGTCTGTTTTATGCGGCTCGGCTTTGGGGAGGCTGTTGAAAGCGGCCCGAAAGGGGCCCGAGAAGAATCGAATGGAATCCCAGCACGTGGGGAACGCCCTAGGTGGTCCGAGCTCAGGCTGAGGACCACACGCCCGCGGCCGTGACACCGTTTGGCCCCAGGACGGGAGTCACCACGGACCTGTCTTGTGTCCTTGCTTGGCAGATAAGTGCCTGACAGTTTGGAACTGGCCGGCGGGTTGCTCAAAACAACTCTGCGTAGTTTCCCGAGGCCCTAGACTGCACTTTTAGCCCATTCTGTGTGGGTAGTGCTTGACAGATGTCCTCATACATCCTCCCTTGCCCCGAATCACGAGACTGATGACCTGGGAGGAAGGGCCTGATGCCAGCCAGCGCTCTCTTCCCTGGGCAGCCCAGTCCCTGTTTTGCCTCTCAGCAAGGTCCATGATAGCTTTGTAAAAGTGGGGTCCCAGGAGGAGAGCTTCTTAGACCAAGGAAACCGTACCACCCAAAACTCGCAATCTTATTAGGTGTTGAATTAAGACCATCATTGCTAGTGACAGAAACCCAACTCAAACCAGCTTCGGGAGATTGGGAATTATTGGGTCACATAACCATAAAGTCCAAGGCGGATGGTAGCACCAGGCACAGCAGTATTCAAGGCCTCATCCTCCTTACTTGACTCTGCTCTTTCCTTTGTGACATCAAAATTCCTTTCAGTAGATAGTCTCAAAATTTCTATCTCAAATTCTAGAGAGAATGGATCTGATTGGCTGTGGTGATCACCACCGCCCCTGTTGGGCAGAGCTTCCTCTTTCTTGCCCTCTCCCGGCTGCCAGGTGGCTTATGGATCAATCACCCTTGGGCCAGATGATCACACTTCACTCAGTGAGCACCCCCTAGAGCGCAGAAGGGATCATGAGGAAGGCAGTCTCAGCTACTGACTTACTTGAGGGATATCATGGCTGGTTTTTGCAAACATCTCACTTTGAACATAACATCAGAGTGGCTCCTGTTGACAGCAGCTGTCCGAAACTGGGGTGAAACTGTTTCTGAGGGGTTGGGGGGACCAGGGCAGATGACCTTCACTTTGTGTCATAAACCTTTTGTGCTATATAATTTTTAATCTTGTGCATATGTTACTTTGGTGGTTAAAAAAAATTAGAAAACACAGGGCGCCTGGGGGGCTCAGACAACTGAAGATCCGACTCTTGATTTTGGCTCAGGTTATGAGATCGGGCCCTGCATCCCGCTCGGTGCTGAGCTTGGGATTCTCTCCCCTCTCCCTCTGCCCCTTCCCCCTTCGCTCGCGCACGCATGCATGTACTCTCTCTCTCTAAAAAAAAAAAAAAAATTAGAAAATACTACTGATGGATTAACTTGAGTTTATATTCAGCAATCCTTTCATTCACTGCTACTGTGTTGGCAGGTGAAATGGGCATGTGATGCTTGGAGGGAAAGTAGTCATCTTGAACTGTGACTTGACCGTGGAATGGAGGCCGTACCTGGAGGCACAACAAAACAGAAGGAGCCTGAGCCCTGGCGCCATGGAACATCATGACACTGCTGGATGCTTGCCTCTGGACTTCCACGGGAGAGGGAAATAAACCACCTTGTGTAAGCCATGCTTGTTTGGGGTTTTCTGTCACTCGTGCCCCTTAGGTATTAGACTCTACTGGAAAGCCCCTCTTGTACCCCCAAGACTCGGGAAGTGCCCCCTCGTCTGTTCTTCAAACACCCCACACTTTCCTTTCTTAGCATTTACTACGTTTTTGTGTAACTGACCTTTCACTCCCCCTGGATAGTAATTTTCATAAGGACAGGCAGAACCTATTTTATACACCATTTTCTGCAAATGCTAGAAACTCCTGAAACAATGACAGTAATAACTTGCGAAGGTGACAGACACAATGATTCCACCCAGGGTGTTGAAAGGAAATGACAAACTGCTGCATACTTTCCGCATCAAACAGGTCATTGCCAAGTCATCTGGGTTTGGGAGGTGGGGGTGGGGCTGGCCCTAATAAATCACTAAAGATGGAGAATTAGGGCAAAGGAGGGAGGGAGGAAAAAGTGGCAGGAAATTTGAGTCATCTGAAGCAGGTGGCACTGGGAAAGGGTGCTCTTCCTACTTTGTGTCCTCCATTTTTCCACTCCTGGCTCTTTTCAGCTCCCCCTGGCTCTAGCCCACCCCCTTTGGTCCTGGTGTCCTATCACTGGCACTTATGTCCCCTCTAACATGCCTCATTTATACCCAATTTCATTCATATTTCAGAGTGACCCTGATACATGCAAAAGAGAGGGAGAGAGAGAGCGCAAGAGAAGACAGCTCCTTATTCTTCTCTTACTCTTTCATTCCACACACATTCAGTGCTAAGAACTGCAGATACAAAGGTGAACAGACACCATCTCCAGCCTCAGGGAAGTTACACTGTTGGTTGGAATTTGAGAGGACACAGGAGATCTGTGTTCCCCAAGACATCTCAGTCCTTCAGACAATCAAGAACAAAAAAAATAGCAAAGTCAAAATATTCATTGTGTTTCCTCTCTACCCCCTTCTACAAAGTGTTTCTTTGTTTGTTTGTTTGTTTAGCTCCTCAGCACTGGATCTTGTTATGTCCATTTATTGGATGGGGAAGTGATGTCAACGGAAGTGAGGAGAGCTAGACAGGTAGGTCAGAGTTTGAGATGTAACAAGATATTTGAGAAGCTGAGGTATTGGGGGGCAGGGATTTGGGAACTGGTTGAAAAAGCAGTTTTAAAGGAAGTTTCAACCTGCGGTACGCATGATCCCCAATTCGGTCTCCAGGAGATCTTCAGTGAGGACTTTGTCTAATTTTTTTCTGGACTTGCAAGTCAGATTGGTCTGGCTGGTTTCTCACTGGGGCTCCTTCCTTCTGACTGCCCCTCCATGCTCAGCAGTTCTACCTGTACGACTCAGAAAGAAATTGCACACTATGGTGGGGGCTGGTAGCTCCCAACAAAGTTACCCACTCTCTGGCCTTCCTTAAAAACTAGGATATATTTTATTTTATAGCAAAGTTCCCAGTAGCTTAAAAACTGCAATTCTCAACCTCCCTTGCTGTTATGACTGGGTGAGTAGGGGTGCCTGGGTGGCTCAGTTGGTTAAGCATCTGACTCTTGATCTCAGTTCAGGTCTTGATCTCAGGGTCGTGAGTTCAAGCTACTTGGAAGGCTGCTTTAAAGGAGCTGAGTCAGCTGGGAGGTGAGTCATTTTGCCTTCCCCACCTTCTTAACGGCTGCTTCAATTTCAGATGTGATGGCTGGAACTTCTGCAGCTGTATTGGACCATGAGGTGACCTAGAAAGTGGAAACCATTCAAGCTCTGGATGGCCTACCCCCAGACTGGTTTAAGTGGGAGCGGGAAAAAAATTAAGTTTTATCTTGTTACAATTACTTTAGGTTTTTTGTAATGTGTATCCAAACTTAAACCTGATATGGTTATGGTTAATATGGTACTGCTTTATTATTATCTGGTTGGGTTTGGTAAATGAGTTTATGTTTTACAAATTTCTTTCCTTTATTATTTTATTAAATTTATACAGAAACCACACACACACACACACACACACAGTCTTCTGTCAATGCAAAATTGTTATTATAAACATATATGCTCTCTTAAAGTATAGCTTTTGGATTTTTTTTCTTTTCATTTTTTGCCCAGGGTTTCCCTACTTATTAACAGCCTAGTGTATATCCTCTCATATAATCTCATCCAAATCTGAATCTACTGACTGAAAGAGGCTGAGGGGCAGGGTGGGGAGAAGCAAAGGAAAGTAAAGTACAGGCACGTGAATGAAGGTGGAGACCATTATTGCTTGTCATAAATATTCTAGCTGGATCACATTTTCCTACCCCCCTCCAGCCACCCCCCCCTCCCCGATTTGCCATGACTGTGGAATTTACTTTGGCCACTGCAACGTGCACAGAGGTTACTATATGTCACTTCCAGGTAGAAGCCTTCACAAACCAGAGTCCAATTTGCCACCCATCCCCTTCCCTTGCATCAAGAGGGCACATCCATCAGCTTTTCTCCCTGCGTGACTGTGATGAGTAGGGCACCCTGCTAAGCCATGTCAGATGTGAGTAAGCAATAAGTCTTATTAGAGTGACAATTAGAGTGTGGAGAATAAAAACCATATCTCCTGGGGCGCCTGGGTGGCTCAGTTGGTTAAGCTTCTGACTCTTGGTTTCAGCTCAGGTCATGATCTCTCGGACATGAGATCAAGCCCTGCATCAGGCTCCACACTGAACATGGAGTCTGCTTCAGATTCTCTCTTCCTCTCCCTCCCCCTCAGTTCCTCTCCCCACTAGTTTGCTCTTTCTCTATATCTCTCTCTCTCTCTCTCAAATAAATAAATAAAATCTTTTAGAAACCAAGTGTCCTTCCATGGACTTAGGAATGAGTCAAGTGAGATTCCTGCCCTCCAGAACTTGTGGTCTAGCAGGGGTTTCAGAAAATCAAGCAAGGGCAAAGCCACATGGCAGAGAAAACTTCAGGGTGCTCTAGGAAAATATGGGAGAAAAACTTAAATGGGTCGAGGTCTCGGTCTATCAGTTGCCTGAAAAAGAAGCAGAAGACCATCTTAGGTCTTCTTAGGTCAGTGTCCCCAGAAATAGCCCAAAACATGAGGTTTCATGTCAAAGAAATGTATTTCAAAGTTGCTCTCAGAGAAACCAGTGAGGGGCAGGGGAAGCAGGACCAGGATGGGACCAAGACAAGCCTGGGTGTGATTCTGCACGAGTCCTGCAGACGGAAGCTCCAGCCTGCTCCCACAGCGAACCCTGGAAGGTAAGCCTGGCCTCCAAAATGCCCAACCCAAGGCAGAGGAGCTGGGCTCTCCCACGGCCACAAGCTCGTCTGAGAGCCATCCTGTGGCCACTGGGCCGTCGTAGTAGATCCTCCAAAGACAGGTGACAGGTGCTGCTAGAAACAAAAGCACACCAAAGCCAGGGAAAATGCAACCTCAGATAATGTCGACGTGTCTCGAGCCCCCCCTGCTCTCACCAGTGTCGGCTCAAGAATCCCACCAAGGCATAGAGCCTCTTCTAAGTCTCTAGAGTGAGCCCATTCTGGTGACCTAGGGAGGAGCCCTCAGTTGGAGCAAGAGGGTACATCACCGCAGCATTTAAATCCCCCCACACTCCCCACATAGTCACACAGACACACGCGCGTGCGCACATTCATATACACACTCACCCACTCTCTCACACGCACGCACGCATGCATGCACGCACATTCCAGGTTTTTAAGAGCAAGAGGGAGGGCATGGTGTGATTGCTGATGAAGTGCTCAGCAAGACGGGCCGGCTCAGTGTCCAGCTTGGGCTCCCAGGAACTTTAAGCCTTGGTGTCCCACCGCAGCTCCCCACGTTTCCATCCACACTGGCCTTGGGATGGGCCATGATAAGGCCCGCAGTCAAACACAGCTTCCCACGCCTGAGGGCCAGCTGGTGTCAGAATGGAAGGACAGCCTCTCCTCCAGGCCGCAGGCCCCAGGCAGACCCCACCAGGGGGAGGTCAGGCAGCTTCAGGCTAGAGGCCCACCACGCAACCCGTTCATCCCAGGCTGGACAGCCCCCCAGAGCTAACATCACACAGCTAAGGAGAGGCCGACTCGGGCCTCAGACGTGGGCTCCACCAGGCCTCAGAGCTCCAGTCAGTTTTGTCACTCAGTGGTCTTGGTCCGGGGTGACCTTGGCCGAGTCCTTGCTGTTCTCTGGGCCTTGATTCCTCATCTGTAAAGCCAGAGATGGAACCAGATGGCCCCTCAGTCATGACATTGCACAAAGAGACAGCTCCCTCTTAACCCCTAAACCCCGGACAGGCTTCCCACATACAGCAGTCTAACGGGTATGAATTTAAGTCCAAAATACATGATCAACTTTATGTAATATTCACATAGCACCTACCAAGAATCGAAGCACCCTACACATATTAACACAGGAGGCTCTGTTATTGTTCCCTCTTTAAAGGTGGCGATGGGCACCTGGCTCGGTAGAGCAAGGGACTCTTGATCTCAGGGTCCTGAGTTCAAGCCTACTTAAAAATAAATAAATAAATAAATAAAAAATAAAGATGGTGAACAGGAGGCACAGAGAGAGGAAGTAACTTGTCCAAGTTCGCACAGCGAGTCCATCTGGCCTCCAGCGCGTCCATCTGGCCTCCAGCGCTGCGTTCTTAAGCTCTGCTCCCACTCCTTTATAAGCAATGTTACATCCTTTCATTACCCTGACTCAAGTGCAGTCTTCCCTCCCTTCCTGGCCACAGAATCCGGTGAGATTTGCAGACTGTTATGGGGTCAGGAACAAATGGGGGTGGGGTCCAGACAACATGGGGGTCACCCATACAACCGGAGCTCCCCCCCAGCTACGGACGGTGACATGTCAATGCCCTCTGTCTCTGGACAAGTCACACAGGTGCCCCTCCCAGGGCCAGCCCTCGGGGGTCCCACCAGCTCCTCTGAAGGCCACATGCTCAGCACCCACCTACCTCCGATCACTGCCCCTCCCGGCAGAGCTGAGTGGGAAGAGAAGCAGCCTCGGCCCTGCATGGAAGCCGCCAGGCCCTGTGTCCCCCAGAGAGGGCCTCCCCCTCCTTTCCATCCTGGCACCTGCTTCTGTACCCACCTGCCCACCGGCGGGCGCCCTCATGGAACCTCGCCCCCCAAACCCGGGCAGGGGCAGGAGTTTTCTGCAGGGTGGTTCTGCACCATGGCAAAGCTGCCATTCCTTCTGTCCTGCTGCTATGAGAACAGGAAGGAAATTAACATTTCCACATATTACACCAAGCTCCTTTCTGTGCAAAGCGCTTGGCAAATAGTTCAAGGAACAAGAAGTTGATAACAGAAGGTGCTACAAAATTCAAGTTAAATCTGTCTTCCCACAGTTGAAACTTGGCCCTGTTCCACTGTGAAAATTCGCTGTAGAGTAAGTCTAGTCCCGCGTTTTATCGAAAACCTTCCACCTCATGGAAGTCTTGATTTTCCAGGGTCAACAGCCCTCCAGGACGTCTGTGCCCTCTCGCTCTTCCCCATCACCCCTCCCTCTCTCCCCTCTCCCACGACCTGTCCACACACTCCCCCACCCGTTTCCCCAGTCCCCATGCTCAGTCTTATGTCCTCCCTTCCTCTTAACCTCCTTCTTCTCTTGCAGCCTTCTCCTGGGCGGGCCTCCTTCGTTCTCCACGGTCTGACATCTCACTCCCCTACTCGGCGCTCCCCATCACGCGGGACGAATTCCACGCTCTTGAGCGTGGCATTCAAGGCCCACCCGTGGCCGTGACCTGGTCTTTGCTCTCCTTTCCCGAGTTATCCCTTGTGTATCATTAGTGCTGTCCTCCCGGATTTTTCTAGTCTTCATTCTAAACACATGCTGGATTACACTTCCATGGTCCCTTGAAATTCAGCATGGCCCTGTGACTCGTTCAGACCCGTGAAATTCGAGCAGTAGCGGCGCGTGGCACTCCGGGCAAAAGGGCTGTGACGGCCCGTGTGCGAGCTCGCGTGGGCCCCGCCCCCGCCACGGCAACCGGAGGCGCTGGCGGGTGGCCAAGTCTCCATCGGTCTGCGTCCCCGAGGGGCGGCATCTCCAATCACAGCCCCACATGACCTGCAATGGACACACGGAAGTCCTAGAAAGAAACATTATTTTTAAGTGGGGTGTTGCTTGTTGCTGCCCATTCTAATATAATGTGTCCCTTGGGCCTATGACCTTTGCAATTCCACCTTGCCTGGCTACTGAACGTCCCTTGGGCTCACTGGGATGCCAAGGCTGCCCTCTTTGACTGACATTCTCTGCTCCCCGTGCCCCCTCAGCAAAATCCTCTCATCCGTTGAGACTCAGGGCAGTTGCCACCTCTACCAGGAAGCCCTCCTAACTTTCCACCCAAGGCAACGGAAGGGAAGGAAAAATTCTTCTCTACCCTCAAGGTCTTCTAGCTGGACTAAGAATTCAGTTTACATGAGACAGACTAACAGGAGAAAATAAAAACCGAAAGATTTATTACATGCACACAGAGGCCAAACAATGAAATCAAGATCCAAAGAAATGACCAAGGCAGGGAGTTTTTATACTTTTTAGACAAAGAGACAATAAATCTGTGAGGAATTGACAGGACAAAGAAAACTTAACTTTGGGAGCTTTGATTAGGAATTCTAAACAGAATTTGGGCTGGGGTAAAGTAGTAAAAAGTAACAAGGGTCATTTACACAGTCTTCTTGGATCTAAATTTCCCATCTCTGGTGATAAGGATCTCTTTAGCTCCTAGTACAGGGCGGGGACCTTTCACACGGGAGATTTATTTTCTGCTTTCACGGGAACAGAGGAGGGTATGAGTGCCCTTCTTGCCAGACTGTCTCTTAAGTAACTTCTATTTAAAATAATCAGTATGCCAGGGCACCTGGGGGGCTCAGTAGGTTAAGCTTCCGAATCTTGATTTGGGCTCAGGTCATGATCTCAGGGTCATGAGATCAAGCCCCGCGTCGGGCTCCACGCTCAGTGCAGAGTCCGCTTGAGATTCTCTGCCCCTCCTTGCCTGCTCTCCCTCTAAAAAGAAAGTGTTCACTGAAAAGAAGAGTCTCTAACATATCTAATAATTATGCCCTCCGTCTCCCTTCCTCCCCTCCTGTCGCTCCCCCAAATCGTGTCCTGACCCCCACGCCCAGCACTAATTGACAGAAGAGCAGTCAAGAGCATGGAATTTGCAGTCAGGCAGACCTGGGTTCAAATCACGACTGTACTACTCACTACTAGCCGTATCTCCTCAAGGGAGTACTTGACTCCTCCAAGCCTCAGTTTCCCCATTTGTAAATTGGGGACAATCTCGACCTCGTAGGGCATCCATGGAAAGCACATGGGAGAATGTATCCAGCATCTGTGGGGCTCCTTGAATGAGTCAGGCTCTGGGCCTGGGAGACTGGAGTGGCCACGGAAGGCCTCGCTGAGGAGGGGATAGTAGAGATGACAGCTGAAATGGGGAGGAGCCAGCCATGCAAAGGGCTGGGAGAAGAACATTCCAAACAAGGGAAGCACAATTGCAAAAGCCCAGAGTAACCAAATTCCATAAATGGCCACTTTTCCCTGATGGCTAATGATGATGTATTTACCCCAAAGACACAGATGTAGTGAAAAGAAGGGCCATAAGACCCCAATGTTCATAGCAGCAATGTCCGCAATAGCCAAACTGAGGAAAGAGCCAAGATGCCCTTCAACAGATGAATGGATAAAGAAGATGTGGTCCATATATACAATGGAATATCATTCAGCCATCATCAATGATGAATACCCAAGTTTTACATCAACATGGATGGGACTGGAGGAGATTATGCTAAGTGAAATAAGTCAAGCAGAGAAAGTCAATATCATATGGTTTCACTTATTTGTGGAACATAAGGAATAGCATGGAGGACATTAGGAGAAGGAAGGGAAAAATGAAGGGGGGGAAATCGGAGGGAGAGATGAACTATGAGAGACTGTGGACTCTGAGAAACAAACTGAGGGTTCTACAGGGGAGGGGGGTGGGGAGATGGGTTAGCCCGGTGATGGGTATTAAAGAGGGCACGTACTGAACGGAGCACTGGGTGTTATACAAAAACAACGAATCATGGAACACTACATTAAAAACTAATGATGTAATGTATGGTGACTAACATAATAAAATAAAATAAATAAATAATTTTTTTAAAAATGGCCGCTTTTCCACCTCCAGTCTTCCTTGCACACCTCGACATCCCACAGCCCACCAGGGGACATCTAGGCCACACGTCACCCACATGACTTCGTCACATACTTCACTTGTGAGTTACCAGCAAGGGGCTGCTGCAGACTGAGGCAGGAAGATCAGGGCGGAACTGCCAAATGGGCTCTAGGCCCTGGGCTGTGTGGATAAGCCGGCTATCACCGGGGGCCCAGGGGCCGTCATGCCTCCAGCAAAGGCTCTGAGTCCCTCAGTTTGCTTATCCTCCTGGGTGGAACCTCCAGCACACCGATAAGGCCAAGAGGAAAGTAAATGCTCTTGTCTGATCTTCCCCTGTGTGATCGCCAGAGGTGGTGGCTCCCTGGGCAGAATCCGGTTCCTCCGTTCCTTCTCCAAAGACGGCCACGGGGCATCAGCATCAGCACCCGACCCTGAGGCCTGCTGGCTGGAACTCAGCTCGCAAGCAGTTGGGACGGAGGTAATGCCCAGCCTGTCCTTATGGGTCTGCCCTTTTCCTCCATCCAGATCCACACAGCACAGTCCCCATAGAGCGGGGGTGGTTTCATCCCCCATCAGGGCCCTCAAAGCTCCAAGATCTTTCCGGAGCATCAGACAAGTCCCTTGTCAGAGGCTCCTGACTCGGCCACGTATTCCCTGAAGAGCAAATAAAACATTGGGTAGAAGTTGCCAAAGGCTGAGCAGAAAGGGTTCATTGCTCTAAATTCCGGCCCATGCCGTGCCATCCAGCAGGGTGGCTATTGCCTGCCAGGGGAGGGGGAGCCGTGGGACTACTGCACTGGGCATGAGTCAAGGGCTGTCACAGCTGCCTCCTGCGTCCGCGTGCCGCTCCAGCTGGCCCCGGGGAGAGCCAGCTCCCAGGATGGCTTTCCTGCTGGCCCCAGAGGCAGGGCTGGGGACGGAAGCTGGCCAGACTGGAGAAGGAAGGGGAAGGAGCTCAGCTCTGGCACCTGCCGGCCTCTGAGAGTTGCCCATGGAGGCTGGCAGCAGGGAGCCTTCTCTGAGCTGTCCCGGCTCAGAGCTCTCCCAGCCCGAGGACCAGACGCCTCGAGTCCCAACGCTTCGCTAATTCACCTTGCGACTTTTTGGTAAGTGACACTCCCCGGCCTCGAGTTTCTTCCTCTCTAGAATGAGGGGATTGGACTTGTTCCAGGAAAACAGACTGCACGCCAGTGCTGGTTAGTGTGACAAGTGGCTGGGGGTGCACGTTGCTCAGGACGGCGAGGCCACATCCAGCGCTCAGATTGCCTGGCCGTGTCTGCCCCGCACTCGGGGTGGGGGGATGGCAGACCAGGGGCCATGTAACTGCCACCCACGAGCTGGAGGGCCTCAGGGCCCCGTCCCGCGGAACATTCTGCCCCTCGGAATCTGTGGGCTGAGGTCAGGAAGTTAAAAGGCAGACGTTACCAGCGGGAAGGTTGTGGATTCTTCAACAGAAACCCAAGTCAGGCTGATGAATCACCTCTCCTAAAGGAATAAATACCAACAAAAGGACTCTGGGGACAAGACGTGACAGGAAGGTCAGCTAAATCAGACAATATTTCAAATGTTTTGGATGACCTGCCCTCTTGCTGTCCAGCTTGAGAGGATGCCGACAGCTAGGGAGTAATTGAAGGGCCACCGACTGTGGTTGTCCCTCTTCCCCATGACCCACTAGCAATAAGGATGGCTCTTACCACCTCCATTCCAGCAGGGCATGATGGCACCTCTAGCATTTCCTGGAAGACCCAGGGGGGCTTGACCCCTGGTCGGTACCATTCCTTCTTCCACGTCCCAGTCCCTCCTGGGTCTGCACAAGCTGACCTCCTCTCCTTCCTTTCCAAGTCTCCCCCAGCCCCCACCTCACCCCTTGGCTCCCTCCCTACCCAGGCCTTTCCCTCACCCTGCAGATGGCACCAAAGAAGAGGGGTCCAAGGAGGGGCGTGCCCAGTTGGGTTTTTCCTAAAAATGTCCTCATCCCTTCCACGTCCAGGCCCTGGCGTGTCTCCTCAAAGTCTCAAGCTGGATGGTCAAGCAGCCCCGGGTGGGAGGGAAGGGGGCAGTTCTCAGGTGAAGAGCGGGAGGGTGAGCAGTGGAGGCTCCCAGTGACTCAGTCAGCAAGGTCCCATCCACATCTGCTCTTCTTGGGCCCCTTGGGGTAACACTAAAGGCAGAAACTTCAAAATGCAAGTTTTTCAAATTTCTGATTACACAAAATCTTTCAAACCCAACAAAAGTGAAAAAGGATAGTGTCATGAACTCCACAATACCATCACTCAGCGTCAAGAATTACAACACTACTCCTCAGCCCAAGCCGCCATAATGAAAGACCATATAAACTGGAGGCTGGAAGTCCCAGATCAAGGTGCCGGCCAGTTCCGTTCCTGGTGAGAGCCCCCTTCTCACTGTGCCCTCACATGGTGGGGGGATTGAGGAAAGCTCTCCGGGGTCTCTTCTTTAAAGGCCATCAGGAGGGCCCACTTTCACGGCCTCAGCTAAACCCAACTCCCTCCCAACCAGCCCACTTCCAAATACCATCGTATTGGGAGTTAAGCTTCAACATATGAATTTGGGGGGCAGGGAGGGAGATACAACTCCGTCCATAGAAATTACGCAAATCTTTGTTTTATCTAGACCCTCATGTTTAAAAATGTTGTTATTCATTCATTTTTGCCGGTGCACTTTAAGACACAGATTACCATTTCACTTTAAGACTTTATTGTACATCTCCAAGAGGTAAGGATTTTTAAAATGTATGTAATCACAATGCTATTGTACCCCAAACAAAATTACCAATAGCTTTAATATCATCTAATGTCCAGTCCATGTTCAAATTTCCCTAATTCCCTCAAAATGCCTTTTAATGGTTTATTGATTTGAATTAGGGACTAGGATCTAAAGAATATATACATGGGTTGCATTTGGTTGTTGTCTAAGACTTTGAATAAATAATACTTTCCCGTTTTTATGCTTTTTTCTTCAAAAAGTGAGGGAGCGAGGGGCGCCTGGGTGGCTCAGTAGGTTGAGCATCTGCCTCTTGATTTCGGCTCAGGTCATGATCCCAGGGTTGTGAGATCAAGCCCCATGTTGGGCTCAGCACTCAATGGGGAGTCGGCTTCTCACCCTCTGCCCCTCCCTCTGCTCTCTCTCCTTCTCTCTCTAAAATAAATAAATAAATCTTTAAAAAGTGGGAGTGGGTGGGGGTCACTTATCTTCTAGAATGTCCCAAGTATTGGGTTTAGATGATTGCCTCCTTGTTCCTTTATCTACATACTTCCTGAAGACTGCTAGTTAGATTCGGACTTAAGTTGAAAATTTTTTATTGGAATACTTCATAGACAGTTCCGTGGATCTCTTACTACATCATTTCAATAGGTACATAATTGATAGATGCTAGGGTTGATCAGTGGGTCCTGATGTGATCAACATCTATTGGACTTCCCCCTTCGACCTCCCAACTATGGGTCCAATATCCGCTGATGCTCTTCCCCTAGATCCATTGTTTTATTAGGAACTGCAAAACAGTGATTTCTTCATTCTACCATTCCTTCTGAGTTTAATTTCTAGAATTCTTCAATAAAGAATTTTCCTTCAGCATTATTTGTAGTTACTTGAAATATACCTGAAATATTCGCTCAGACAAAAACAGCATACGTACTGATGATTATTTCCCTTTCTCTATCAATGATCAGAATAATGAGTCGGTGCCCTAGCAGTCCCCCCATGGTGACGAAGTAGCTGCCGTATAGTATCATACGGAACTCATGGCTTTTTGTGTGTTTAGTTTGTTTCGATTAAGTTGATGTGATGCTCAAATTGTCCCACTTTTGGCCACAGGAAGCCTCCTCCTACTGATTCCCGAGCCCTTGGACAGGACTCCAGTGATCTTTGGAGGATCCCAACTTTCTGGACTTTCAAGATATTCTTGGCTCCTTCTGTGCATTTCTTGGCCCAGCCCTGGAATCAGCCATCTCCTCAAGAATCCCTGATCCTCTAGTGGTAAATGGTATCAGTATCAGGAGGCCACAAGCTGGGCCTCAGGGTACTCCATGCTATCACATTATCATGGCTTCTAGGTTTTTCGGCTGCCAGAGCCAAGAGATACAGTCAACTCGTGAACAACACGGGTCTGAGCTGTGCAGGTCCAGGTCTGTTTACACACAGAATCTTTGCAGTACATGGGGTGCAGCGCTGTAAACATATTTTTCCCTTCCTCATGAACTTCTTAATAACATTTTCTTTTCTCTAGCTCACTTTATTATAAGAATACAGGACATAATACACATAACATACAAAATATCGTATAACATAACATAACATACAAAAGTGTTAATCGACTTTTTAGGTCATCGGTAAGGCTTCTGGCCAACGGCAGGCTGTTAGTAGTGAGGTTTTAGGGGAGTCAAAAGTCATATGCGGATTTTCGGCAGCCCGTGGAGAAGGGGTCAGTGCCCCTAAACCCCACATTATTCTCAGGTCAACTCTACATATTTTGTTAGAAAGAGAAAAATAATTAATTAGTACAAACTTAGACTTCCAGTTCAAGTTTTAAGATGGCAGGGTTTTACTTCTAACTTTTTTGTTGTGGACTTACATCTCTCTATTCTTCCACTGGAAGTCTTGGTTCAGGACAACATTCGCATAATTAATTACTGACTGGCTTTAACCTCTAACTTCAGGGTTTCAAAATAACAGTGGCAACATCACCAATAATAAGGTTACTAGAGGAAGTTGCAGATTTCGTTGTTTTTTTCCTTGTTGTCATTGTTGTTTATCCTTGGAAAGTACCCCCCACCCTGTGAATGTAGAGTCAAAATTTTGCATTTTAAAGACACTTGAGGGGCACCTGGGTGGCTCAGTGGGTTAAGCCCCTGCCTTCGGCTCAGATCATGATCTCAGAGTCCTGGGATCAAGCCCCACATCGGGCTCTCTACTCAGTGGGGAATCTGCTTCTCCCTCTCCCTCTGCCTGCTTGTGCCTCTCTCTCTCTCTGTGTCAAATAAATAAATAAAATCTTTAAAAAAAAAAAAAAAATAGGGGCACCTGGGTGGCTCAGTCAGTTGAACGGCTGCCTTCGGCTCGGGTCATGATCTCGGGGTCCTGGGATCAAGCCCCGCGTCGGGCTCCCTGCTCGGTGGAGGGTCTGCTTCTCCCTCTCCCTCTCCCTCTGCCTGCCTCTCTGCCTACTTGTGCTCTCTCTCTATATCTCTGTCAAATGAATGAATAAAATCTTTAAAACAAACAAACAAACAAAAAATAAAGCCACTCGAGGTAATTTTTTTTTTTAAGATTTTATTTATTTATTTGACAGAGAGATTGACAGCGAGAGAGGGAACACAAGCAGGGGGAGTGGAAGAGGGAGAAGTAGGCTTCCCGCTGAGCGGGGAGCCCGATGCAGGGCTCAATCCCAGGATCCTGGGATCATGACCTGAGCCGAAGGCAGACCCTTAATGACTGAGCCACCCAGGTGCCCCTTGAGGTAATGTTTTGCTCTGTGTGGTTATGTTACCAACTTGGTAACCGTTGGGTTCATTTGTTTTATTTTATTATTATTATTCTTTTAATGAGCAGAGAGCCCAATGACGGGCTCCATCCCAGGACCCTGGGATCATGACCCAAGCTGAAGGCAGACGCTTAAACAACTGAGCCATCCAGGTGCCCCGGGGTTCATTTGTTTTAGTTCTCAATTTTGAGGGATGTCTTTTTGATCAATGGATTCTGTAAAACATTTACCTGGTGGCAGAGTCAAACTAGAAAACAAGAAAAATCTCACCTCTATCCCTGCCTTTCCCCATTAATACCTAGTCTTATTAATTTTGGGTTTCTCCTTGCACTGATTCTTATTAAAAACATGCGTGTCTGTGTATGTAAAAGCAGCAAGCTATAAATACTGTTCTGTTCTGCCCCCTCTTTTTTTCTTTTAAACAAACAATATACCCTGGAGATTTCAACCATCCCCTTCTTTTTTCCATCTGCATTATACCCAGTTGTGCGGCTCGCACTGTAGCTTATCTGACTGATAATCCCCGGTTGATGGTCACTTCGGGCACACTGCTAATGTTTTGCTTTTGCAAATAACATTGCAGTGCAGAGCTGGTGCGTACGTCTTAAAAAAAAAAAAAAAAAAAAAACACAGGCCCAAAATGGCATCACTTAGGCCAAGCCCCCAGTGGAAGCTTAATAGAGAATCTAACTGCAGTTTCAACCTCCCCCAGAAAGGTAATCTTAACTGGTCAGTCAGGAATTTTCCGATGCGCGCCAATGAGTCAGCCAAATGGGCCCTCTCCATCCCCTAGAGGAAGATGAGGTGATCTGTCTGATAAGACGGCTTGGTTTCCCCCCCAGGGGAAAGCAGCCTCACCTGGAAAATCTTTTTCTTTTGCTGGTAACTTTCTTACCCCACCCTCCTTCCATGAATACTTTCCATGTTGTACAAACGCCTCAGGAGTTCCCCTCTATTTGCTAGAAAGGATGCTGCTCGATCCGTGAATTGTCTACTAAAGCCAATTATACCTTTAAAATTGACTTGGTTGGCTTATCTAACAGTAGTTTTCTATTGTTGTCAAAATGTGTCTTTGGATTAGAATCCTAGAAGTAGAATTGCTACATTTAAAAAGGGCATGTATGTGTCATTTGCTAGATGCTGTCAAATCCCTTCCATAAGGTTGGACCACCAAAACTAAATTTTAACAATGCGGAGAATTGAGGGGTAAGATGCAGTGCTCCCCACTCCATCGGCCACCCAGGCCTGGGGACCAGGCCAGCCTCCTACTCAACGGTCAGGCCTGGACAGATCTCAGAGAGGAACACTAGGTTCCCCAGCAGTCCTGGAAGGAGCCATAAAGTTCCATTCTCCTTACTTTGGCTGGAATGATACCAGTTTAATAGGTAGCCCTGTTCATCTCAGGCTGAGCAGAAGCTCTGGATACTTTTTTTTTTTTTTACCTTCTTTGATTGACAAACTTAAAAATTAATTATTCCTCTGTGCATTTGGTTTGGCAGACAAAATAGTTTGAGGTATGGATCCCATGGGGGAGCTATGTCAGGTGCTTAGCAAATGGAGATTACTGGTAAGTTTGTTAGTTGATCTGACCTTGGTGGTCTTTCTTTACAAATGCAAGGAAAACTCACATGGCTAGGATGCATTCAGTCTCTTCTTCATCCAACCAACGTGAATTGAACACCCCCTCAGTCTGCGCCCTACTTCCGCCTCTAGGCTAGAAATAAAACCCTATACAGCCTACTTGTTGACTCCAGCCCATAGTTGCTTGAGGCTTGGCTCACCCTATGTTTGTGGGTCTGTTTTTTGTTTTTATTTTTGTTTTAAGAAAGTAGTTGCTTACATTTGAAGATAAGGATTTCACATAAATACTGAGACTTCTTTTTTTTGCTGAGCAGGGAGCCCGATGCGGGACTCGATCCAGGGACTCCAGGATCATGACCTGAGCCGAAGGCAGTCGCTTAACCAACTGAGCCACCCAGGCGCCCATAAATATCCAGACTTCTGACATCTCTTGAAAACATGGCCAGTCTGGCATCGCCAGCCAGACATGGAAACTGCTGGTGGGAACAGGGTAGAAACTGCCTCCTTGTCATGGGGTACGTGCTACCCCGGGCCCATGATGCCCATCCAGCCCTTCCATTCATCTCCCTCACCTCCTAGATCGTGAGTTTGTGAGCCCTGCCCTTGACTGCTAGCTTCCTGAAGGCAATGACCACTAGTGTCTTTTTTTTTTTTTATAATCTCTACACCCAACGTGGGGATTGAACTTACAACCCCCCGAGATCAAGCGTTGCATGCTCTTCCAAATGAGCCAGCCAGGCACCCCAAGGACCACTTGTGTCTTATTTGACTTTCCAGCATCTAGCCCAGGCTCCAGCACACAGTGGGGCCCCAGGAAGTGTTTGTTGTATGAATAACAGACCTCTTGGATGCCTGCATCACATTTCTTCTAACATTAAAATTATGCAATTGTAATGTGCAGAGCGGCATCATGAGTGCCCCTGGTCTGTGCCATCCCACCACCTAAAGTCACTTACATGCCCATGTGCTGTACTTGGTGTCCTCACGGTGACATTTGACCCCCTTCCTCCTAGCAATCTCCTCTCCAAATGAGGATAGCAATGCACACCTCACGGGCCCTGGGGAGACTGCACAAGATCAGAAAAGGCAAGCATAGCACCTGCCACTTATTTTTAGCACATTATTATCAGCACCTTTATCTCCAAGATAGGAAGAGTCTCCCCGCTCTTTGTTAGAATTTATGGTTTAGGATTGTTTATTTGGTTTGTTTTTTGTTTTTTTTTTTTTTCAGTCAAGCCCCAAGGAAGAGATCACAATAGAAATCTCTGTATTCTGTGAATTTTCTAAATCCCCTCCTCACAAACACTGATGGGGATAGAGATCTTATCAGAGAGGGTCATATGTCTTATCAGGTCCACTTAGCAGCCCTCAGGGGCGCGACTAAGGCAGGTCAGATCACATATAACAAGCAACTCATGCTGGCCATTGCTTGCTCAGAACCCAAGAAAAAAGCATGAAGTGGTTTGGGGTCCTCGGGCTGGTGGCCCTCTCAGAGTGCTTAGTCACGTAAGTACAGGGCATGCAGGTGGCATCAGCTCTCTTTCTGGACTCCTTCTTGCCCTCTTATTCTCCTGCCCATCCATGGATAGAGAAGAGAATATAATCACTCCCAGACTGTCTTAAAGTTCAAGGCTCCATTTATTGATCAGTAACTTACCACATGCACTGTGGGGTCCAGGTGACTTGAGACAGGCCTGCAGGATTGTACAACTCCAGGAGTGCCAGTCATATCATGAGCTGTATGAAATGGCACCCCTTGGAATTGTTCAGTGCACAACCTGTGCAACTGTAGACATGGTCCTGTCTAGGAACAGCATTTTTCCTGCATTTGTTTCTAGGTCTTCTCTCTGCTCTCACTCCATTTTCATATGTATATGTCTCTGTCTTTTTGGATGTCTCTCTCCATGCAAAACTGTGTTTTTCCTACTTTGAGTCCTTCTTGTTTCTCTATCCTCTTAATTTCTCTAATTTATTCCCCATCGCCTCACTTCCTTCATAACCCCTCTCTTTAGGTTGAGCCCTGGAAAAAGATCAAAAGGGCTACTGGTAGGCCCAGTTTTGCCTCTGACAAGCAGTGTGACAATAGCCAAGTCACCAGCTCCCTATAAAAAGAGGATGATGATTTCCATTCTACCTCCTTCCCAGGGTTTCTTTGAGAAAGACACAGAAAGATGACAGTAGCAATAGTGACAACTGCCACTGTCAAGAGTTCCTATCTGTCAGGTGCATGATAGCCATCATTTTGCTTAACACCCCAAACATTCTTTTTTTTTTAAAGATTTTATTTATTTATTTGAGAAAGAGAGAGAATGAGAGACAGAGAGCACGAGAGGGAAGAGGGCAGAAGGGGAAGCAGACCCCCCGCTGAGCAGGGAGCCTGATGCGGGACTTGATCCCGGGACTCCAGGATCATGACCTGAGCCGAAGGCAGTCGCTTAACCAACTGAGCCACCCAGGCACCCAACACCCCAAACATTCTATGTGAGGGGGTTATCATCATTCCACCTTTTTGTAGGTGGGAAAACTGAGGCACAGAAAGGCCACATGGCTTACCCAAGATTACACAACAGAACCTATATTCAAACCTAAGTTTACTGCCATAGTCTTTCCATGGTGTTGGGTGGCCTGTCCTGATGATAAGATGACATCATAAAAATATTTGGAAAATATGGTAGGATTACAGCATGAGATGTAATAGTTATATTGTAACACAGGGCAGGTGAGATCGCTGTCTCTCATTTGTTTCTCTTTCCCAATGCTGGCTTAAAGAATCCCTCTGACAAGGATCAAGTCCATGCGAGAAAACCTCAGGGAGAAAGACAGGCTGAGAGATTACCTGGAGAAGCATCCTTACAACCTGGCCTACAAGTTTGTTGAGTCTGTAGATCCGGACCTGGGGGTATATTATGAACCCATGAGGAATTACCTGGATGTAAGTGTGGTGGGGAGGAACTGGGGGGAAGCGGGGGTGCGGAGGACTCTCCAGAGCAGACCCTAGGGCTCCGGCCAAGTGCTGGGGTTCATCTGGAAGTGTGAGCAGAGATGCTGGGGCTGGGGCTCCTGCAGGCAGAAACACCGGGGAACAGGGACCCCCATCCCCAGAGGAGAAGTCACCCCCACCCTTAACTCCTGGTCTGTGGTGACCAGGTCCAGCAACGAGCAGGTGACAGGAAACATCCATTTCGGGGCCGACGATACATCCTTGGCACGTGCGCACCGCAGCACTTGGCTTGAGGGGTTTTGTTCTTTCTGAACTAAGCAAATCACTGAGTTAGAGTAGAAGGATGAGCCATGTCTGCTCCAACGACAAAGCCCACTGCAAACCAAGTTTGACACCCCAGGCAGAAGCAGTTCAGGCTCCCCAGCCCCAAGAACGACACCAGTAAAAAAGTTATTGAGCGCCTACAATGTGTGAGGCCATAAAAAACTAACATAGATTGCTGCCTGTGTTCTCCTTTAGGATTTTGATGGACTCCTGTCTCACATTTAGGTCTTTCAATCATTTGGAGTCTATTTTTGTGTGTGGTGTAAGGAAATGGTCCAGTTTCATTCTCCTGCATGTGGCTGTCCAATTTTCCCAGCACCATCTGTTAAAGAGACTGTCTTTTCTCCATTGGACATTCTTTCCTGCTTTGTCAAAGATTAGTTGACCATAGTGTTGAGGGTCCATTTCTGGGCTCTCTATTCTGTTCCATTGATGTATGTGTCTGTTTTTGTGCCAGTACCATGCTGTCTTGATGACTACAGCTTTGTAATACAACTTGAAATCCGGAATCGTGATGCCTCCAGCTTTGTTTTTCTTTTTCAACATTCCTCTGGCTATTCGGGGTCTTTTCTGGTTCCCTACAAATTTTAGGATTATTTGTTCCATTTCTTTGAAAAAAGTTGATGGTATTTTGATGGGGATTGCATTGAATGTGTAGATTGCTCTAGGTAGCACTGACATCTTCACATATTTGTTCTTCCAATCCATGAGCATGGAACGTTTTTCCATTTCTTTGTGTCTTCCTCAATTTCTTTCATGAGTATTTTATAGTTTTCTGAGTACAGATCCTTTGCCTCTTTGGTTAGATTTATTCCTAGGTATCTTATGGTTTTGGGTGCAATTGTAAATGGGATTCGACCTCAGCCACAGCAACTTCTTCCTAGAAACATCACCAAAGGCAAGGGAAGCAAGGGCAAAAATGAGCTATTGGGACTTCATCAAGATAAAAAGCTTTTGCACAGCAAGGGAAACAGTCAACAAAACCAAAAGACAACTTACAGAGTGGGAGAAGATATTTGCAAATGACATATCAGATAAAGGGCTAGTATCCAAAATCTATAAAGAACTTATCAAACTCAACACCCTAAGAACAAATGATCCAGTCAAGAAATGGGCAGAAGACATGAACAGACATTTTTCCAAAGAAGACATCCAAATGGCCAACAGACACATGAAAAAGTGTTCAACATCACTCGGCATCAGGGAAATCCAAATCAAAACCTCAATGAGATACCACCTCACACCAGTCAGAATGGCTAAAATTAACAAGTCAGGAAACGACAGATGTTGGCGGGGTGCGGAGAAAGGGGAACCCTCCTACACTGTTGGTGGGAATGCAAGCTGGTGCAGCCACTCTGGAAAACAGTATGGAGGCTCCTCAAAAAGTTGAAAATAGAGCTACCATATGACCCAGCAATTGCACTACTGGGTATTTACCCCAAAGATACAAATGTAGGGATCCGAAGGGGCATGTGCACCCCAATGTTTATAGCAGCAATGACCACAATAGCCAAACTATGGAAAGAGCCAAGATGCCCATCGACAGATGAATGGATAAAGAAGATGTGATATATATATATATACAATGGAATATTACTCAGCCATCAAAAGGAATGAAATCTTGCCATTTGCAACGATGTGGATGGAACTAGAGGGTATTACGCTGAGCGAAATAAGTCAATCAAGGAAAGACGTGTATCATCTCAGGAAACAAACTGAGGGTTGCTGGAGTGGTGGGGGGTGGGAGGGATGGGGTGGCTGGGTGACAGACATTGGGGAGGGTATGTGCTATGGTGAGCACTGTGAATTGTGTAAGACTGTTGAATCACAGACCTGTACCTCTGAAACAAATAATACATTATATGTTTAAAAAAAAGAAGAAGAAGAAGATAGCAGGAAGGGAAAAATGAAGGGGGGGAAATCGGAGGAGGAGACAAACCATGAGAGACTATGGACTCTGAGAAATAAACTGAGGGTTCTAGAGGGGAAGGGGGTGGGGGGATGGGTTAGCCTGGTGATAGGTATTAAAGAGGGCATGTACTGAATGGAGCACTGGGTGTTATACGCAAACAATGAATCGTGGAACACTACATCAAAAACTAATGATGTAATGTATGGTGATTAACATCACATAATAAAATAGAATTTTTAAAAAAGGGAAAAAAACTAACATAGGGTTATCATTATTGTTAACATAGGGTTATCGTTATTGTTAACATAGGGTTATTGTTAACAAAAGGTCTCATCCCTTCTCCAAGAATGCATAGCCCAGCCTGAGAGACAAGCAGAAAGTAAATGAATGTCAAGGAAAAGGGCCAACTGCATGGTATTGATGTTCTATTTTGAGTTCAGAGGAAGTGGTCTGGGGTAACCTAGGAGGGCTACCTGGAGGAGGAAGCACTCAAGCTGGGCCAAGAAGGATGGAAAGGATTTAGTGAGCTGCAGGGGACACTGAAGAGCTTTTCAAATGAGGCACTGGCCTGAGTAGAGGCTATAAGGTAGAGTGGTCGAAAGCTGATTTCAGGACACCCAACAGAGGCAGGCACCCTGGGGGTCAGGGAGGACTAGGGCAACCTGCCTTAACCATCCCTTCCCGGCCCCTGCAGCTGGCCTACGTCGGCACCATCAGCATTGGAACACCCCCGCAGGAGTTCAAGGTCATCTTTGACACAGGCTCGTCTGACTTGTGGGTGCCCTCCGTCTACTGCTCCAGCCCTGCGTGCGGTGAGCGCCTGCACACGTCTCGTGCCCCCCACCCCCACCCTGCCCCGTCCTCTGTCCTTGGCAGGCTGACAGATGCTCACCTCCTGTGTCTGCAGCTAATCACAATGTCTTCAACCCTCTGCTGTCCTCCACCTTCCGGATCTCGGGCCGACCCATCCACCTCCAGTACGGCTCCGGGAGGATGTCAGGATTTCTGGCCTATGACACTGTTCAGGTAACGTGGAAACCAGAGGCTGAGGAAGGCTGGCCCGGGGAGCATTGACGGCTTATAGGATCAAATGTAGGGTCAGGTGGGAGCACCTGTCTTTCTCAAAGTCCCCCAGCCTGCCCTGTGGGGCTGGCTCCCTAGGGAGACAGTACCCCTTGCTGACACATGGAATCCCAGAATAGCTAACCCAGAGAGTGGGTCACCGTGCTGGCGGGGCTTGGAGGCATGGATTTTCAGCTCCTTTCCCCTTGGTTAGCTCAAGGCTGATTTGGGGGGAACAGGGAGAGGTGTGGAAAAACCACCCACTTTTATATTTACAGCACGGTGCTGGGTGCTTTCATGGTAAGAACTTGTTTGATCCTGCACCAGCCCTACGTGCCAGGCACAGTTACTACCATCACGCAGATGGGTGAATCGAGGGAGAGGGAGTGCCTTTCCCAGGGTTATGCACCTGCTAAGTGGCAGAGCTGGGATGCGAAGCAGGGCTCACACAGATGGGGGATGTTTTGGAGAAGAGGGCAGAACTGATACGGAGCATCTGGGTGCAGCTGAGGATCCAGGCACCCAGGCAAAAAAACCAAGGGCCACAGAAGTGGGGAGGGGGGCTGAAAAATGGGTCCTTACCCTTGGGGGCCTCTGAGACTCTAATAAAAACTATGAGCTGCCTCCCCTAAAGTGCCTGAACACACACACACACACACACACCCCAGCATATTTCCCAGGCAGAATTTTCCTTTTTTTTTTTTTTT